AGCGGCCAAATCCGACCAGAGGAGAAGGCCCATATGGACCGCAGCTGAGGAGCTCGGCGCCGCCGCAACCCTCACTCCATGCTCGTCTCGACCGCCGGCGCCATAGCCCTCGTCGGGCTCGCCTCAACCATCGGCGCATGCAACCCTCGTTGGGTCGCCGCCGTCGGGGAAGCCTGAGGAGGCCGTCGCCGCTCCACGTCGCGACGACCCCGCCGATGCTCCATCGGGGGAGCTCCTTGACGCCGGCAGAGCTCGTCGTCGTCTTCTTCCTCTACGCGCCGGTCGTGAGTGGGAGAGCCAGCACCGGTGGAGGGAGAAGGGGGACGCCGGCCAATCTCGCGATGGATTTGGGGGAGAAACCGCGCACCGCCCACACCATCGCTGCCGACGCTGTCAACTCCGCTATGAGCTTCTTGCCCGCACCGGTGAGGAGGCGTCGATGCCGCCAGATCTGCCCCGAGCTCGTCGCCATCCACGCCGCCATTGAGGCTTGTTGCCGGGAGCTCGCCGAACACACCTAGCCTCCATCTGCGCCACCGGGAGCTCGCCGGCCACTCCGTCACGCAGCCATTGAAGCGCGCCTCAGGGATCTCCGCGAACGCCAACGGTAGAAGGAGGAGAGGAGAGTTGCCGGCGGTTGGGCTAGGAGGAGAGGACGCCGGTGGAGGGAGGAGGGGAGAGCCAGCGCCGGGCATGACATTTGTGGGGGTGGTGGGGTGAGGCCGTGAGGGAGGGGGATTTGGTGAGACAACACTAGTTGGTGCTTGCACTGTGAAGAAAATGTCTTAGAAGCTCTTCATCTTAGGTGCCACCATGTGGTATCTCATAGTTGGTGCTTATACAGCGAGTGCCCTTGCCAGGTCATTACCACATCAATCAACCCCACCCGTGAAAGCCTGGTCCACCATGCAAAGCGAAGCCCGTACATGTACAGGGCGGCACGCGGGGTGGTGGCCAGCGCAACAGCCGTCGTCGGGTGATCTCCCTCTCCCGGAGCCCATATGCGCGGCCGGCCACAGCCGCAGCCGCAAGAGCGAGAGCGAGCGAGCGAGACTCGCGCGCGACGCGAGATGGCGTACGAGATCTCTCCTGGAGAGGACACCGACGACGCAGCGGCAGCGCAGCGCGCGGGCAGGGCAGCGGCGTACGTACGTGACACCGGAGCGAGCGGGGTGGGTCGGCATATGCCGTACGTACGTGCTCCACGGCGAACGAACGGAGAACGCGACGAACGGGATTATTCACGGGGCGTCGCTGTCGGGGTGGGCGGGGCCTGCTTTGCTTTGCCTGTGTCCACTTTATTCATTCATTCCCCTGTGAAAACCTGCGCCTCGGCTATCGTGGATTCGTGGTCGCTGCCGGTGCCAGTCGGTCCGTGGCGTTTCCACACTCGGAGTCCATAGATCAGTCAATCGATTCTTTCTGTGTTTGGGAGAGAGGGACTATGCTGTGTTTAGTTTGCACTGAAGTTTGAAAGTTTGGTTGTAATTGATACGATGTGATAAAAAGTTATGTGTATATGAAAGGTTTGATGTGATGGAAAATTGGAAGTTTGAAAAAAAACTTTGGAACAAACACCCGCTTGTAATTTTTTCTTCTTTTTTATACGAGGGACACCGGATACACAGTCAAACAAACACACACGATCGATTCTGGTGTAGTATACTAGTAGTATGTCGTGTAGATCGGCATCAAGAACGTGCATATGGACGGGATATCGGTACTGTCACATGCCGATAACGTAGTGCCGCAGCTCGTCTCTGAGATTGTGGTCTGGCTGGGCAGAATCGATTTTAAGCTGACGTTAAACCTTAACATCGATGTCTCTCTTACCTCCTCCTTATCTCTCCCTTCCTTGTTGGCAAGACTAAGGCTGTGTTCAGCTCTATGAATTAAGAACTAATCTCCCACATATGCAAAACAAAACGATTTATTAGCTACTCCCTTCGTCCCCAAATACAAAGGATTTTGATATTTTGCTTTCATTGTTTCACCATTCGTCTTATTTAAAAAATTTAGAAATTATTATTTATTCTATTTGTGACTTACTTTATTATCCAAAGTACTTTAAGCACAACTTTTAGTTTTTTATATTTGTATAAATTTTTTTGAATAAGACGAGTGGTCAAACGTTACACGAAAATAGTAAATATCCCAAATAGTAAATATCCCTTATATTAGAGGACGGAGAGAGTATTTGTTTGAAAATGGATTAATATGATTATTGAAAAGAGCTTTCCTAGATTTTTTTTTTAGAAAAACACAATGTTTAGCAATTTGAGAAGTGCACACGAAAAACAAGGGAGTAGAGGTTGAGAGAAACACAGCCAAGGCCCAGTTCTTTTTATCAACTTCAAACTTCAACTTTCGTTTTCCGTTAGCACGCTCTTTAAATTGTTAAATGTTGTGTTTTTTTTTTAAAAAAAACTTTTTAGGTAAAAGTTGTTTAAAAAAATCAAATAAATATATTTTATAATTTTATAATAATTAATACTTAATTAATCATGAGCTTTTTCGTTTTGCGTGCACCGAAAATATCACTACTATCAATTTACAGAACGAACCGGTCCTAAGGATTGTTATACATGCGGATCAATCTACATCATCATTGTCTACATCCCCACCTACAACTAAGTGCAAATTTGTCACATTTTTGTCTGCTCCTATTTATTTTGTTGCTTTTAAGCATTTAAGGGCACATGAGTTTTTTTATCTCTATATTTTTCTACCCCATATTTATCGTTTTGGATAAGGATACAGTCTTAAAAAAACTTTAATTACTATTTTTTATTATAATATAAATATAAATAAATATATGATTTTATTAAAAATACTTTTTAAGATTAATCTATGCATATGATCTCCTTAATTCTAAGACAAATATTTTAGGAATTATTCATAATGAAATATATTAAAGTTTGATATCGACCTGGTTCAAAACAATAAGTATTATCAACCTAGAAAATCATTGAATGGTATAATAAATATCAGATTAATACATTCTCATGTCCAAAAGACACCCTCATTCACCCAGTGGTACTTTTACAACTTTTACTGCCATACTTTTTTTACCGTAAAAAAGTGAGGAGGCTCCCATGGTATATTGAAAATGGACATTTAGAGGGTTTTTTACAAGAAAATATGGTAGAACCAGTTCGTAAGAAATATAGCAAATGTAATGTAGTTGTTGTCTTAAAAAGAATATTAATTTAACTTGTGCACAGCACACTCCGAATTATTTTGCATTTCAACTAAATTCCTTACTGTCGGCTGAACATTCATAGTCTAACTTGCATGATGACAAGCAGGGTAGGGTTGTAGGTTGTGTGGACCAAGTTGTAAAGGTGAGGGTTCACGGAGCCTTGCTGAGGATGAGTGACGAGTGTAACATCCATGACAAAAGGAATGAAGTTACAACGTGAGGAAATGTTGACATGAGTGACATAAGGCTCACTATTAAAACTACACGTGATTTGAATTTCACATTTTGCCAATCCATTCTAGTAACTGACCATGGCTTGTGAAAACTTTTTTTTAAGTGAAAGCGGCAAAAGATTTGCCGAATATATTAGAAGATCAGAATATATAAGATACATAAGTGCGATTGCAAATTTAGCCCAAATACGACAACTCAAAAGGGATGTGAAAACTTTTAAGTAAAAGGTACTCTTTATTTGAGGAAGAAGTTTGAATCACCATATGAATTTATTGCAACGGTCTGAATTACCTCTTTAAATTATAAAACCAGACATTCTATACTTTGAACTTTCTAAACCGGATAAATAATTACCCTAATAACTCAATTTGAAGCGGTTTTGATTCTACCTAGCATACACATGATAGTCCAGTCAGCCAAAAAAATAATAGAAATAAGTGGGCTCGACCTATCAATGCTACATCTTATACTCCCCTCTTCTCCATTCTTCCACATCCTCCTTCCCCTTCCATCTATCAAACAAAGACACACACACACACTCTCTCTCTCTCTCCCCTCAACATGAGCATGATTTGGCGGCTAACGTTCTCCATTACTTGGTGAAGGATAATAGAGAGGAAGACAGTGACGGCCTCCATGAGATGGCAGAGGAAGACAACATCCTGCAAAGCTCCGACCTCCACTTGTTTCCACACCTTGGCATCATTTGGGGTAACTGTAGCGATGGCAGCAGCGTCCCTAGGCATAGGAGGCGGAACATGACCTCCTCAACTCCACCTTCACCATGAGTACATCATCCTCTTTGGCACACATGCCAGGCGGCTATTGCATGCGGAGTTCGACGGAAATCAGTGTGAGAGGAGCTAGTTGAGAGAAGGTAGTGAGACCGGTGGATCTTGGTCACACCAACCGACAAGAGGGGGAGGCAATGGCAGTCCCATCTTGACAAACCTTATCTTGCTCCCAACCTCACCGTTCTCTCCTTGGCAAACAACTTCTTCTTTGGCGAGCTTGCAATGGAGAGATCCTAGGGAGGGGGGTAAGAGAGGGATTGACTTGAGAGGGGGCGAGGAGGGACAAAAAGGGATGGCAGGTGGACCTATGGATTTATTCTATTTTTATGGTGACCGGATTACAACGTTGTCGCCACGTGTGTCAGCTCATGTTAAAACCGCACAAATAGTGCTTAGGGGTTATTCGTCCAGTTTGAGACGTTCAGGGTGTAAAATGTCTGGTTATGTCATTCATGGAATAATTCGGACTATCGCCTTAAGTTCAGAGGTAATTTGGACCTTTTCCTTTATTAAAACAGTTGACTAAAAAATGATTAAAATTTTCTTTATAAAATATACGTATACTTTGGCAAAACTAACAAAAGAACTACAAATTAAAACTTGTGTACCACAGCACTGCAAACTGGAGGCCAAATTTACTACAAAACTACGTATTTAAGCTCTTTTGAATTATAGGAAAAACATATTCAGTAGTGGCTTTATGACAAAACTACAAATCTTAAAGCTTATCTTATCACAAACTATAGAAGTTATGGATTTTAAGCCTATATTAGAATAACAATGTTTGGATGAAGCACATAAAATCTATAGTTCCATGATAAATTATATGCTAAATATGTGGTTTAATGATTTATAAATTTAAAATATGTAGGTTTTAGATGAAACACATAAAATATGTGGTTTAATAATTTGATCAAAATATCTGTAGTTCACGGAATTTAAATTGACCAATACTAACATCTAAGAAATGAGTTTCCCATCTTCAATTTGCAGCTATGTGAGCAGTCCCCGCCTACTATACGAGCCTACCCAGTGCCCCTCAATCAGCTGGTCGGCTGGTCGCACACACCACGTTCCTTCTCCCACCTCCGCCATGCCTTCCCGCCTTCTCCAGCAACTGCCGCCTCCGCCGCCGCCTCCTCCCCTCAACCGCCGCCACCATCACCTCCTCCTCGCCGCCTCCGCCGCCGCCGCCACAGCCACAGCGCTGCTGCTGCTCCTGCTCCTGCTGCTCGTCGCGCTCTACCTCCGGAGCCGCCGCGCCCGCCGCCGCAGCCCCACGCTGCCGTTCTCGCCGCCGCCGGCCCCCGCGCGCCCGCTCCGCCGCTACTCCCGCCGCGCGCTCCGCCGCGCCACCGGCGGGTTCCACCCGTCCCGCCTCCTCGGGCGCGGCGCCGCCTCCCCGGTGTACCTCGCCACCTTCCCCGACGCGTCGCTCGCCGCCGTGAAGACGTGCTCGTCCCCGCACGAGCTGCACCTCCTCGCGTCGCTGCCCGAGTCGCCGCGGCTCGTCTCCCTGCTCGGGTACTCCGGCCCCGGCGGCGGCGCTGACGACCGCCCGCTCCTCCTCGTCTTCGAATACCTGCCGCACGGCTCGCTCCAGGCCGCGCTGTTCGGCGACGCCCGCGACGGGAGGTTCCTCGACTGGCCCCGGCGGCTCGCCGTCATCCGCGACGTGGCGCGCGCGCTCGCGTTCCTCCACGCCGAATGCCAGCCGCCGGTCGTGCACGGCGACCTCAAGCCCAGCAACGTGCTCCTCGATGCCGACTTCCGCGCCAAGCTCGCCGACTTCGGCCTCGCGCGCTTCAAGACCCCCGACGCCATCGCCGCCTCCGGCGCTGGCGCGGATGACTTCATGAGCCAAGAACTCGGCGAGGCCGGGGAACTCTTCTCCACCGCCTGTGCCGCCGCCGCCGGCGGCGGCGTCAAGGCGGACGCGAAGGACGAGTCCGGCCCGGCCGCCGCGTGGGGGAAGGAGTGGTGGTGGAAGCAGGACGGCAGCGGCGAGCTCGACTCCCGGGACTACGTCGCCGAGTGGATCGGCAGCCAAATCTGTCCGGCGAGAAACCCGGACTGGGCCGACGACAACGACGGCGACGCCAACGATAACAACAAGAACTCACCCTCCGGCACGGACGAGCACGCCGTGGCAGCCTCGCCGGAGGACAAGAAGGACGCCGACTGCAACGGCAATGCTGGCGGCGGCGGCGACAAGAAACCAGAGGCGACCAAGATGAGGGAGTGGTGGAAGGAGGAGTTCTTCGAGGAGATGAGCAAGAAGGGCGGCAGCTTCGACAAGCGTCGCGGCGGCGGCGGTGGCGGGGGCGGGAAGCCGTGGCTCCGGTCGATCAGCATGAACACCGGCAACGGCAATGCCAACGGCGACGGCGGCAACAACATCGAGGCGACGAGCGGCCTGGACATCAGCAGCTTCAGGAGGAACCGGAAGCGGAGCCGGCGGCGTGGGCGGTCCGTGGGCAGCGGCGACATGCACAGCGGCGACTTCCTCAGCCGGGAGCTGAGCACGACGACGAGCATGCGCGGCACGGTGTGCTACGTGGCGCCGGAGTGCGGCGGCGGGCCGTGCGAGCACGGCGCCGAGCTGCTCGAGAAGGCCGACATCTACAGCTTCGGCGTGCTCGCCCTGGTCATCCTGTCCGGCAGGCGGCCGCTGCACATCCTCTCGTCGCCGATGAAGCTGGAGAAGGCCAACCTGGTGAGCTGGTGCCGGCAGCTCGCGCGCGCCGGCAACGTGCTCGAGCTAATGGACGAGAGGCTGGACGGCGGCTACGACAAGGACCAGGCCACGCTCTGCGTGCAGCTCGCGCTGCTCTGCCTGCAGCGGCAGCCGGAGCAACGGCCGGACAGCACGGACATCGTCAAGATCCTCGCCGGCGAGATGGACCTGCCGCCGCCGCCGGTGGACTACTCGCCGTCGCCGCGCGTCCGGCCGTTCCCGCGGTCGTCGCGTCGCGCGCAGCCGCCCGATGCCACCGAGTGATTGGTAACTCTGCTCACTTAAAAAATTTGATCCTTGGGGATCAATCTACAAGTTGCCATGCCCTGTGTTCTTGCAGGAGATTTAACAAAATTTGTCGAATTTTGCTAATCTACTAGTATTGTTTTTTTGTACATAGCAATAGCAGCAATTCGTCTTCCCCTAATTGAGCAATGGATTCTTTGGATGTCAATTCTAACAATTGATCTTGCATCTTGCAAAAACTTAGCAATAGATTTTTAGGATTTAGTTTCTGATTTCTTTGTCAGTTTCAACATATTTAGCAGAACAGTACTAGTATTTTTGTTGATTGTTATGTTTGTACATGGGAGATCCAAATCCATCTTATCATGGAATTCTTTGCCTGTCAATTTCTTGATGTATCTTGTTTGCAAGGATCACTAAACATTTTTGTGTGATTTAATTGATTTTTCTCTCGTAATTTCTTCATGTGCCTGATCTTAATAAATGAAACCTTGGTCTCTATCAAAGGTGGAGAAAAACAAACGAACAAGGTAGTGAGCAATCAAGTTGATCAGATATTTTTTCAGTGCTACATCCAAATTGCACAGAAAAGGAAGAACATTTGCGTACTCCTTGTGTGTTACGATACCTAACATATAGGTCAAATACGATGCGTCTCTATCAATCTTCAGCCAAAAAAATAACAATAATGATTTGTAGCATAGAAGTCAACCCTTTGTACATGAAAAACCTTTATGAAAACCAAAGGTTTGGATTGCTTCCCCTCGCGACAAAATTGAATTCTCCAAAATTCTCTACCGGATAAGTTGGTTTATGTTCACAAGCAACCGATCCTGGAGAAATACTACAATTAGTACATTTTTGCTTTATTCTCAATCTATTTGCTGCAGCAAATGGAGTTTCCTGTACAATAAGCGGCCAGTCTGCAGATTCAAAATCAGGATACTTTCATAGTCTCAAAATGATCAAAAGGGGTGACTTCTTCCTACAAGTTTCAAAAAGCTCATTTTGCCAGGCATCCATGGTTGGTGTTTTCAGTCAATTTTCACCAACCACACATCAAACATGGTTGGTGTTTTGTTCTTTTACTATTCCTTCCATAAAGGTTTTGCTTACTTTTCCTCAAGGAGATAACTACAACCCAGGAAAAATATTCAGTAAATTTACTCCATACACGTGTGAAAACTATTCCTGATGAAGTGAAGTGAATCTTCTTGGTACCAACTCTGATCACTTGTTGTCTGAAGAAGGAAAGGCAAAAGGATTCCCTGTAGAATTTCAGAAATCAAAATCAAAACAACTCCCTCTTCTCCTTTCCTAGCATGTTTCGTGGGACGATTATGCGTATGTTTTGTTCATATTCCTTAGAGCCCACCCGAGTTGCTATGAACAAAATTCATTCATACGCTTTGTCGTCTTGCGCCTTTTGAGGACTTTTTTCACAGTTCATTCCTTCTTGAGACTTTCATAGCTCCCACAAATTCCATTTCAGTGGGATGGTCCAAAAGTGCCATTTTGCCCTCCAACACCATCTAGATGGCCCTGAATCAGCTTCAGCCTTTGATTGATTACTGCTGTTGGAGATGGTGTTTGGTGATTGTTGTATGGTGAGTCCGTGGGTTTTGCATGCACTCAAAATGCTGCCACAATGTTCTTGCTGTGGTACTCCCACTGCCACTGCCCACATGACCTTTCCAGCTCCCAGTGCTCTTCATTTCCTTTTAGTTTATGGCCTTCATTTGTTTGATTAGGGTGTGAGATGTCCCTCCCTGCACTAGACTAATGAAATTGCATATCTGTTCCTTCAGTTTGGCAAGGCAACAATCCTTTGTTACTACTGGTCAATGGTTTTAGTGGATGCTTTGCCTTGTGACATCATCTACTCTTCAAGTTGTTGTCTTAACTGAAGAATCCTCATGGCTATATGTTAACCAATGAAGATAGCAAAGATCTTGTTCTAAAATGCTGAAGTTACTGCTGATGCTTTTTGTACTAGCTAGTAGAAAATCTCTGTCAGGAAGCACTGTTTTCACCATCTTAAACACTGTGCATACTGGTCAGTTCTTCTAGGAGACTGACACTGGACAAATAGAATGGTCAAATTTTGTTAAAAGACAAAAGCACCCAGACTGCATGACCTGGCTTTGTGCATGATGGATCAAGTTGACCTGTAAGACTGAAAAGTCTTTTTTACAGTCAATTTAATTTGCAGGCCATGAAAAGAAGGAAAAGGTTGCATACTTACATGGTCCCTGATCTACCATGCCAAGAAATGTTTGAGCTGTGAGCCTGTGATAGACTACCCTTTTGTCCATTATCTTGTTTATAAAACTCATGTTTTGTCACATTTTGGATCCTACCATCCTAGCAAGTCATTAAAGATAATTAATGGTCTTTTAGGGTCAAAAAGTTTGTTAAAAGTGCAATTCTAGATCTGAAAAAATTAAGGTTCAAGATAGATACTGCAAATCTTGGTGGGTATATTAGCATTTCTGAAGGGATGGATTGGATACTGAAGATATGAGTGCTATTTGCAAAGTGTTAAGAATGTGATGTTCATATATGATTAGATAAAATGCAGAGGGGAAAAGAGAGTAAAAGTGAAACATTCTACTGCTATCCGCTAGACCAGCTGACAAAAGCCAGCTACTAGTTTCTTTTGTGACAACTGAAATTCCACACATCCTAATAGCAGCTCCAACGAGAGGATAAAATCGAACCTTGCAAAAAACAAAAAAAATCGAATGTGAGTGAAAAAAAGGGGTTCATGACAGAAGTCGAACACAACCGAATAGAAAAAAAAATTCATCGGGTTGTGCGAGAGGGAGGCATATGCGGGTGAGGCTGAGATTTTCTTTATGCGTGGGTCTCACACTCTCACTGGGTCTATCTCTAAACTGCAGCGATTGAACCGTAATTTTGTTAGATTGCATGGACCGAACTACTCGCAACAACGCTAGAGATGCCCTAAGAAACTGAAACCTAAATAAAACTCAATTTACTAATTCAGATATCCAAGAGGGGCACTACAAGATTTCAGTGTTTCTGTTTGGAAATATATTATATCAAAATAAGTTATTGTACGGTTTTCTATGACACTACAATTTACTATGCGATGAAATTACTATACAATTTATATCAACAAACGTTATATACCCAAAATTGTACTTTGGAGATCATGTCAATGTCCAAAATACAACTAATATTTGACTAAATGGAGTACCAAATGCAGTACTTTGTTTTGAGATATCACATTTCTAACTGCTACTACTAATATAAAGAAAAGAAAATTCATTGTCCATATATTCTCCACTCTCATGTCCCTATCAACTTATCAAGGCGTTTCTCAAAGAAATTGATCTATGAGTCGTACGTAATTCCATTATTGGATTTGTCTTTCTTGTTAAGTCTTTCCCGCGTGCGTCATTTACCTTTTAAACATGATATCCTCATCCATGTCACTGAATTGACTCACTGAATTTCTCACCTTATTTTTCTTTGCCTTCACAAAACAAAAAAAAACATTTCTTTTTTCTCAACAACATTAGCTAGAGTCTTCCTGGGTGATTTTTTTACTCCCTTTAATTAAATTCCGACAGGTCTTCTGCCGTCGTTCCCTTAAAAAAACATTAGCTAGAGCCAGGTTGCTTCTACTTCATATGGGGTCATATGGGGTCCCACACGAATTCATGCGATAGTGCTAATTCCCTCTAGCTAGGCAGCTCACGTCTGTTGCAGATATGCTGGATAATTATTGGAACAAAATATTTTTTTTCTCAGCTAGTAGTTAAGATATACGATGTGCCAGCCCATGAACACGGGTTTTCTGCTCATCCAAGGCCATGGGCCACAGGGACATGACGTCACCGTATGTATGTGTTGTTTACTGCATTTTTTTTTCCAAAACACAATACATAGGCCGTGTTTAGTTCTCCCAAATTCCCAACTTTCCATCACATCACATCACATCGAAAACTTTCCTATACATATAAACTATCAACTTTTTCTCCAAACTACCAACTTTCTCTAAACTTTCTAACTTTTCCACCATCTAAACACAGCCATAAGCATGTTCATATAAACGGTGCTAAATGCGAGCATACTACTGCTATAAACGCCTACACACACTCTATCCCTATAAACAGGGGCGGAGCTAGAACAAAACGAAGGGGGTTCCACTTACTTGCTTTACTCTGGTTTGAATCAAATTTAGCTTGATACGGTGTGACATCCCAGCCTAGGGTTTAATAGGATTAATATAATACTCATATCAACAAGTTGCAGCTTCTTTTCCGAAAGCCGATTTCCAAAGAACTCCAAGGTTAAGCATGCTTGGCCTAGAGCAATTTGGGATGGGTGACCGACCGGGAATTCTGTGGCCAAGAGGGGACGTTCCTGGCCTGGGGTTAGTCGACGGGGACGTCTTCCCGGTGCGCACGAGTGAGGTGGCGGACGTGGCCAAGAGGGCCACTTCCTGGTGCGCACGAGTGAGGTGGCCTGGGGTTAATCGACGGGGGACGTGGCGAAGAGGGGACGTTCCTGGCCTGGGGTTAATCGACGGGGACGTCTTTCCGGTGCGCACGAGTGAGGACAAAGTGTGCAGAAAAGACACGTGTTGGTCTGTGAGGGCAGTCTATGACTTATGAAAGCTGCCAGATGTAAGCGGGCCCGGCCTGGGAGAGCCGGGACATTACATACGGGTGCCTAAATTTAAACTGACGGGGTATATATACAGTGAAAATAGATAAACTATAGCTAAATTTTTTTTGAACCGGGTTCCTAGGCACCCCTAGCTATACTAGCTCCGCCCCTGCCTATAAACACATTCGAATACTAGATCTGCATATCTTAACATTCACGAAGTGTTCATATACGACTCGTTGTCGATGAAAACATTGCATATAACTTGAGAAAATAATTAGTCATAAATACGAGCACCTCGTGCCAAATCTAGCACTTAAACTCGGGTGAACATGTTCCAAAACCAAAAAACCTAACCTAAGTAGCTGAGCAAGGCTCACTTGCATAAATTTGATCCGGTGAAAACCATCAAATAATTAAAAACCCGTGAAAACTAGACCTAAAAGTTTTAAGAAAAAAAATCATAACACTCCACCAAATTCCAAATCCAAAATAAACTTTATTTTGAAGGGACAAAACAAACAAATATTGAAAAAAACAATGAAAGTCCCACGTTCTGGAGCAGTTGTCAAATCCACGTTCTAGTTTCACTGTTTTTTTCAAGGGCTTTATCCAAATTCTTATGTCAGCTTCTCGTTCCTCCAATATTGCGCACTAAGGGTATCTACAATGCAAGCTACTCTTAAAGTGTCCATACTAACTAAGGACACTAGTAGGGAAACTCAGCTCGTAATGGAGGACACTCCTAGATGGGCTCCTCAAAATCTGAAGCAACTAATAGAGACACTCAAACCCACAATGGGTATCCCAGTCCACAAAGCCCCATATTTATTTTTCCAACCCTACCCATAATCTCTCTCTCGCCCCCTCTTTTTTTCACCACGCACGGGCGCCTCTCCATCTCACCGCCGCACTCACCTCTCCCTCTCGCCGCCGCTGCCGCTCGCCTCTCCCGTCACCGGCGACCGCGAGGACGACGAGGAGGGCCGCCTCTCCCGTCGCCGGCATTCACCGCCGCCCCTCTTTCTCCCTCTCTCCCGTCGCCATCATCGCCATCCACCTCGGCCTCCTCCGTCGCGCCATCGTCGCCATCCACCCCAGCTCTCTCTCTTCGGCGGTGGCCGCGAGAACGACGAGGAGGACCGCCGCGGCCGCCGGAGCTTCATCGGCAAGGGCGACGAGGATAGCCGCGGATCCACCACCTCCGCCTTGGATCCGTCGCTGCCGCTGCTCGCCGCCGCTCGCCGCTCTCCCCACCCCTCTCTCTCTCTCTCGTCGCTGCTATTTCAGGCCACAGCTCAAGACCTCCGTCGACAGCTAAGGCGAGCCCGGGCGATGGCTACTGCGGCGCGGTGGCCCCGTCGTGGATCCGTCGTCGTGGCGCGTGGTTGGCCTCTCTCTTTCTTCGGTGGCCGGCGAGGGTAGAAGCGGAAAAACAGGAGGAGGCAACGGTGTCCTTGGGCTACTCCCTAGCCACGCCCCGCCCAGCGCGCCTCCTCGCTCCCCCCCCAGCTGAGGCGCTCGTAGAGCCGTGTCCCTCAGCTGGGGGACGGCAAAGCGACGGAGCGGAGACAGCCATGAGCAGGGACACGCTCGGGGATACGCATTGGTGATGGCCTAAGGGTATGTTTGGCACGTGCATAGCTCCAGCTCAGGTGAAACTAGAACCCAATCAAATAGTTTGAGTTTAGAAATTTGAGCCCTGCCAAATAGATCCTCTAAGTGGGTTTTGTTTGGCAAGGTTTTGTTTGTCATGTAGAGGCCCGCACCCCGCTCTATCCCTTAGTTTATTCTTTAGATCACCTTAGCTTGCTCCGCTTTCTTTTGAGTGAAGCTAAACCGTTTGGTTTGGATATAGCTCTGGAAGAGGAACTGTAGCCCTGCCACGCAGGCCCAAAATTGTCATATGTAACCCACATATGACCAAATCCACCTTGGATTTGGTTAGGGCAGTAATCCAGTTCGAACCGTTTTAGAGATTGTTCGGTATTGCGTTAGAGGGAATAAATTGGCCTAAAGCACAAATTGAGGAGCAAATTAGACTTTTTACTTTTATGAGAGGGATAAATCCAAATTACATCCTTATTGGGTTTGTTAAAAAAATATACTTCTCAACCATGAAACCAAGCATTTAACATTTGTACTTAAATACCGGTGAGGCTAATACAATCCAATTTTTATGAGCTTGACATCTAAGCAATATATTTTTGAGTAATTTCAGTCAAAATTACAGAAAAAAAAAACACACGAGAATTTTTGTTTGTGGAATAGGTTTTATGGTCTAGGGGTTTCACAGAACCCCACCTTTCTCAAGTAAATTTGATATATATGAAACAATAATATCAAAAAGAGTAAATTAATTACACTCTCAGGACATAAACTTGGTGGATGTAAATAGCTACAACAATTATAAATTGCTTATTCTCAAACAATAACTTGTCATGAGAACCCAAGCCAAAATTATCCATGCAAAGCAAAATTGATTTAACATGCACATACTAATGTGTAATTATATTACATATAAGATTTTAGACCTACAGAATGTGTAATTATTATTCGTAGGATATTTTTAAGATTTACATGACTAAAAGGGAAAAAATGCTAAAAATGTCAGACCATGAAAACTAATTATATTTGTTCAGAAAAACCGAGAAATGCCATTGACAAATACAAAAATCTAATAAATATCATCAACGAGTGCGAGTTCTATAAAATACCATTTTACAAGCACTACTATAAAATATCAAATAGGTGTCGCCACTATAGGTGCCAGTAGTACTAAAACCGGCACCTATAGACCTTTTCCTACCTCCACTAGTTGAAATTACAAAAAAACCGGCACCTTTAAGTAATTATTGGTGTCGGTTCTAAATAAAAACCGGCACATATTATATTCTGTATCGGTTTTTTTAAAAAAACCGGCACCTTTAACATATTATAGGTGCCGTTTTTTTTAAAAAAACCGACACCTATCTAAATCGAGCCGAGCCGGAGCCGAGCCAGCGGGCCCCACCACGACCGCACGACGAGCAATGCGATCGAGGAGATAAGGTCAAGCTCGCTCTCTTCTTCTCTCTCGTCTCGCCTCTTCTCTGTCTCGCTCTCTTCTCTCATCTCTCTCCTCCCTTCTTGATCTCCTGCAGCCAGCGGAGGCGGAGGCGACAGCGGCGACCGCGCCCTCCCCTTCGCCAGATCCGGGGGCGGCAGGAGGGGAGGCGCCAGCGGCGGGCGGGGTCGGCGCCAGCGGGGCCGGCGGTGTCGGCAGCGGGTGGCGGGATGGCCGGATCCGGCGGCGGGCGGGGTGGCTCGAGGAAGGGAGGCGGCGGAGGACCCGCCAGCGGGGAAGAGCCCTCCCCTCCGCCAGATCTGGCGGGAGGGGAGGCGGCGGCAGGGGCGGTGATGGGGAGGCAGCGACAGTGCGACAACGACTCATGCGACGATGACTTCATCCGGCGGCATCTTCTACCCTCCCCTCCTGCTTCTTCTCCGGTGATGAATGTTGTGATTTTTTTATTGCATAAATTTGTGTTGTGGGATGATTGTTGTGGGATGAATCCATCTTTGAATGCTGTGGGATGAATCAGTCTTTGAATGTTGTGATTTGTTCTGTTCTTGCGGATGCGGGTTCTTGCGGATGTGGGAGGTCTTGCGATGCGATGTGGGAGGAGGGACTGCTCGCCTGCTTGGCTCGATGCGTCGGCTCGATCGAGCTGTCACATCGAGCCGGCTTTTTTTTGATTCGTCGAACCTAAAAGGTGCCGGTTCTAAGCAACCGGCACCTTTTTATTTTCAAATCAGTGCCGCCTTCCTTGTGCCGGTTGGGAAAACCGGCACCGAAGAGGGTTCCCCAACCGGCACTGAAATCATTTTCTGTAGTAGTGAAGCGATTTTGTCCCATAAATATTATTGTCGTTAAGGTTCATCCATCCCGCGCCATTAAATGCACTGTTCATCCTATAGCATTCAACGAGGGATGCTAACGGAACTCTAACGGTGAAGGTATTTTTGGGACAAAGTCGTATGCACAATGGTATTTCATGGAACTCGTACTCTTCGATGACATTTCTTGGAATTGTGCACTTGTGAATGGTATTTTTTGGATTATTTCTTATTTTTTTAGAAGTTGCTGACTTGCTGGTACTAAGGTGTGATAGAAAATTATCTTGGCCATGAACATATATAGAAATTAACATTGAACGAATTATATAGAGGATCAATTTTTCCAAAACATAAAATAAATTTTTTCTTTCTTAAACATAAAAAATGAACTTTTGCACAACTTATTTCTATTTTTGTTTAGATTCCAAATAGTATCTTCAAAACATAGTTGTGTGTTTAGCTGTCAGCATATTATCGGTGTGCGTCACGTTGCGTCCATTTTACTTGCGTGAATCGTGTTGGGCTAGGTTCGCATGGACTAGCCGACTAATTGCACCTGAATGAGTAATTTGCAAGCTATTATACCAATTTATACCTATCCCGTAAATTTGTATACCATGAGCGCAATTTATGTTCAAGAGTTAGTAATCACTTGTATTAATAAATCAATAAGTAAACCGTCAAAAAAATTAAATCAATAAGTAAAAGTTTTCATAGACACTTTATTCATGACAATTTTAAGTAAATGTATGTTCAACGTGCATACGGGTGAGTTTGGTGAAACCTTAAGACCGTTATACCCAAGGTAATCAAAGTACACGTGGTTTTCTGTAACTTCGATTTTTTTTTCAAAAAAATACATATTTAGATGTTAAAATCATGAAAAACACTACTCCCTCAGTTTCACAATGTAAGTCATTCTAGCATTTTCATATATGTCTAGATTCATTACCATCAATATGAATGTGGAAAATGCTAGAATGACTTACATTGTGACGGAGGAAGTAGTATACAAAACAAGGTTATATTGTACTTGGGGGTATTTTGCCAGGCTTTGATAGTTGAGAGGTGTTAAATGTTGTTTTGATAGTTGAGACTTGAGTGGTACTATTTGTTAGAGTTTGTGTCGAATATGTGTACATAGTCGGTTATAGTTTAGGACTTGGAGTTGTACTATGTATAGGACTAGAGTATGAGTCGGACTCTATCCTAGGATCTCTCATAAATAGAGGGGCGTGCCTGTTGTAACCGCATGACGACATAGCATAGCGAGAGGGAGCGGCTGCCGGCGGTAACTGGCCGTGAGTCGTTGTAACTCTGATACGTTGTATATGCTAGATCGGGGAGGAGCGCTCGTAATCAGTGCCCCGGAGATGTAGGTATCGGCTGAACTCCGTTATCAAATATCGTGCCTCGGTGTCGTCATCATGTTTGGATCTCCTGTGGCGTTTCTGCCGCGTTTGGTTTCCGATGTGAATTCAGAGCCGGTTTCTAACAAGTGGTATCAGAGCCTGCGGGAGATCTATGGTAGAGGTACGAGGGAGGTGCTCCACGCCGCGACGACTACACGGGGTGTCCAGGGACGAACATGGACGCAAGGTGGAGCACGGCGGCGATCAACGGAATTTGATCGGTGGAATCGGACACTTCAGGCGGTGGTCTGAACCGTTCGATGGCTGCAATCAACAGGGAGATGACCAGACGTGGTGCTCGGGTTGATGGCGGCGCAAGCGATTGGCGGTCCAATCGGTGGGTCGGACACTTCGGGCGGGTGGCTCGAACTTTCTGGTGAGCTACTCTCAACAGGGAGACGTGTGGCCACACGCTCGGGGTTGATTAAAGCTGGAGGCGATCGGCGTTCTCGATTGATGGAATCGAACACTCTGGGCGGGGTGGCCCGGGCCTTTCGATGAGTTGCGTTCGACAGGGAGACGGCTAGACGTAGCGCTCGGGTCGTTCGGCGGCTGGAAAGACGGCATGACGATTTGTCGGCTTCGGCTTGCGGCTAAATTGACGGTTGTCAATTGGAGGTCGGAGCGGATTTGTTGGCGACGAAGTCCGAGCGGCAGGAACACGGCTTGGTGTGGTCGTCGTGTTGGTGCTGGCGGGATTCGACGCGGGCCGGCTCCTGTCAACGGAGGCGGCGACGGTATGCACAGGAGCTGCACAAAAGTTGGACCAATCAATAGAAGCTGTTTGGATTTGTGCCATGGATCACACATGCAGTCACGCAGAGAAGTCATCAAGCATGAAGACATCAATTAATTAATTGCATGGTTGCATGCAGGGAGTAGTTAATTGGATGGATGTGCTTGCAGGCTCGGTTCATGGTGGCTGTGGATGTGTGTATGCATGCAGCAGAGGGGTCCATGGGCATATTGTGCGTTGGTCCAAGGCATCGAGCAGAGGTTGCATCGGAATCGGTCGTAGGTAGATAGATGCATGAGCAGTTTTTTCCGCTTGTGGAGGTCGACACGATCACGGAGTTGTTTTCAGCTCGGAGATGTGATGGATGTGGAGATCAATACGGAGGCTAGGTGGCTGGGATTGTCACCAAAGCCAAGTCGGTTACTCATATGGACGGTGCTGTTAGGGAGTAGATCGAGGCCATAGGATCGACAGCGAAAGTAATCGTGCATCAAGGCTTGGGCGTTACGATTCAAAGGCAAAAGGTTGTGTCGGTGTAGGAGTGCAGTAAGGCCACGTGCAAAAGAAGTTCCGGGCAACGGCGGGTGAAATATGTTGATGGAGACAACGGGTCTGTCTGACAGTACAGGATATATCCAGAATCTACGGGGTTTGTATAATGGGGATATATGAAATCCGCGTCACTAAAGGAGAAGAGCGAACGCTATGGTGATAATTTCTTCGGGTGATTCAAGGCAACGGTGATTTTCTCAAATTGTCCAGTTCAGCCTACGGATGTGGAAAAGCGTGGATGTTGGATTTGTTAGCTCGGTTCATAAGACGACAAGGAAGAAAGGGTTCTCTTCGTGTCTAGTGAGTTTGATTTATCTATTTGGTGATGACGTCGGTTATCTGGCCATGGATTAGATCAAGTCAAATTTAAGATGGTAGATGAAGTTGAACATGGCTTTCAAGAAGTCTATAATGTGACGGCTAGGAACGAATTCAATTTCACTTGGCAAGACGATTGTGGTGATAGGAGAGAAGGTGGAGCACTGTTGCAGGTGGAGTCAAGAGGAAGAAGTTACAAAGATGGCGGAGTCTCTTGTTACGGTAAGCCTGGTGGACGCTTGTCGGGGCAGCTCGGCGAGAGCGGCGAAAAAGGAACCAACTCAAGTCCGGGTACACGGAGGTTCGAACAAGTAACAAATTCAGGTCGTCGTGGCATATTCGCTAAGGTGGAGTTTGTTAGAGTTTGTGTCGAATATGTGTACGTAGTCAGTTATAGTTTAGGATTTGGAGTTGTACTAGGTGTAGGACTAGAGTATGAGTCAGACTCTATCCTAGGATCTCTCATAAATAGAGGGGTGTGCCTGTTGTAATCGCATGGCGACATAGCATAGCGAGAGGGAGCGGCTGCCGGCGGTGACTGGCCGTGAGTCGTTGTAATTTTGATACGCTGTATATTCTAGTTCGGGGAGGAGCGCTCGTAATCAGTGCCCCGGAGATGTAGCCCTCGGCTGAACTCCGTTATCAATTATCGTGCCTCGGTGTCGTCATCGTGTTTGGATCTCCTATGGTGTTTCTTCCGCGTTTGGTTTCCGATGTGATTTCGGGGCCGGTTTCTAACACTTAGTAAGACAAACCTAATAGTTGAGGGGAAGGGTGTAATGTGGATTTATCCCTTGATAATACAAATATTACTTCCCGCTTTTATATACATAGCCATATTAATTTAATACGTCGTGCCTTGTGTGTGCGTCATAATGGACAAAGCAAAACCGTCAATTGAAGTAGCTAGCGCACATGTGATCTTCCTTTGCCATATCAGAACAAATCGAGAGCAACAAAATGGACAAAATTTCGTGTCAAGAAAAGCAAGACCGTCAGCGCAGGGCACAGCCACAGGAACTCCATTTCGTTTTGTTTCATGTGTTGTTTCTATGCATCGACTTATTTTGCACACCGTGTCCACATGGCCGAGCATGTGGGCTAGGAGCTAGTATCAATCACTTCATGTTTGGCAGATATTTTAAGTTATTTGTTAGCATCTAATTTTAGTACTTAATTTCATCTGAAATAAAAGGATATTCAGAAAAAAATTATCCTTAATTTTATATGCAATTGTGTTTTCTGGTTTTCCAATTTTTTTGTGCGTTTTTGTTTACTTTTTCACAAGATGATATGATAAATTGGTAATCGCCGGGCGAATTCTGCTAATATATTTTCACCTTGAGTCATATTTGCATTCTTGCATATATATATATATATATATATATATATATATATATATATATATATAGTTATTTCCTTTTCACCGGATTTTAACATATAAAAAAAGGGATGTTAACATGTTGGGCATGTTACCTGGAACCTGGAAAGGCAGCGAATTCAAGCACCGTGTTTGGAGTCCAAAAAAGCATGAGACAATATTTAGCAAACCTAGATTAATAAAATGGCCGGCATGTATAACCAATGCATATGCGCCGCAGCTCATGTACTTCTTTTCATGACAGTGCATGTAACCGTACACAGCAGCTAGAGTAATTTTCTTTTCCTGAAAGCAAATAGCTCGTGGATAAAGGCCTGATTAGTTACCAAAAACTTTTTCTCAAAAACATCGCATCGAATCTTTGGACACATGCATAGAGTATTAAATATAGGTAAATTAAAAAACTAGTAAGTGCTACAGTAACCCACATGTGCTAATGACGGATTAATTAGGCTCAAAATTCATCTCGCGGTTTCCATGCGAGTTATAAAATTAGTTTTTTTATTTGTGTCCGAAAATCTCTTCCGACATCCGGTCAAACGTCTGACGTGACACTCAAAAAAAATTCTTTTCACGAACTAAACAGGCCCAAAGTAAACATTCTGGCAACTTTTTTATGTAGATTCTGTCTTATTTTGTTTTTTAAAAAAATGAATATACTGAATGAAAAAAAAAATGCATGCGTATATGCATGGTTTGATTTTTTTAAGTCCTTTAGACGGTTCTACTATATAGCGGTAGCTGTTCTAGATTTCAAGTT